ATAGAGAGATGTGTTGAAGTTTCAAAATTTTAGCCTCCAACAGACATACGGCTTGGACATTCATGTTTGAAAAGTCTTAGCATTTAAAAAAAAAAAAGAATGAAACAGAGATAGGGGTGCAGCTCTAAGCTAGAACATGTGCTTTATAGGCATGAAGACCTAGATTCGATATCCAGCACCAGGGAAACACCCACATATATCAACGAGGACACACTAAGAGGTTAAGAGGCAGAAAGACATTTCCAACTTCCAAAGGAGGCCACCAGTTTTAGAAATTCTGCTCTCTTCTTTTTCTTGATGGATACAGTAGCCCAAAGACCCCAAACTGAGCAGGTCCACAAAGCAAGCCAATGATTATTGTTGTCGCCCGGCTAATGTCCCTCAGATTCCAGCCAGGTGGCTGGCAGGAAGTCTGAAGCCATCCTCATGACAGGCTCCCCAGGGCCACTGCCTTCACTTGTGGCAAATGGCAGGACGAGCACATGCTCACTTGCAGGCCATTGTCCACACCGTGACTTCTACCTAGAACTAGCTCAGCCACCCGAAACCGCATTGAACTATAACCAGAAATACATAAACGGCAACCCACGCTTTGCAAACACGGTCAAGGGGGAACTTTGTCATCAAGAGGACTTCTCAAGGTGATGTGTTACTTGGCTGATTTTGGTATGCTGTAGGATCTATAAATAATTGCTAACACCAGGCAGGATGTTCATTATACGAAGCAGTGATTTAGCAATAATACATTATTTAGCATTTCCTTAAATTGTTTCTCAACCCCTCTGTTAACACCATGCCATAATGGAGTGAAATTGGTGACTTTTGAGAGTAAATGTAGTGTAGTCCAGAAGGCATTTGGGGTGCCATGCTAGTACATTTTTAAGTATGTTCTATATAAGACCAATGATGGAAAACACAACCTTTGGCCCTCTATGTCTCCTCTCTATCCCCATAATTTGTGGACCATAGTAGTCTCAACTGACTAAGATGTGTTACTATTATATCTATAAAAACTGGAGAGAATTCTATGTATGATACCTGCATGCCACTTACCACACATTTTAATATACAACACTGACTCGGAAACGCGATCAGATAAATTTGGAAATATCATTTACTGGATCTTTTTAAAATCACACAGATGTTTGAAAAATAATTGATTTACCATATCATTCACAATTTCTATAATTACGTAAATGACTTTAGGATTCACATGGGCATATAAAATTAGAAGCCAAAGTAAATTTGTGAAATATTTATTTTACTGACTGCTATTTAAGACTATACCAATTTAACTATCCTTTATTGTTAGCCTTAATGTACCTTAGATCTGGTAAAAATCTTATTGAACAAATCTGTTGTAACTAAAGAGACAACAGATAACAGATTCCTAACTAAGGAACGTGGGCTAAATGTGGAATCTTAATGATTTTTTTTTTGAGTAGCATTTATAGGAATGTGGAAAATAGTAACGCCTATGAAGAAAGCACTTTTGGGTAAGGTTTTAAAGTTTTTAGAACTCTATCTTCCTCTCGATTTTCTATTTATTTACTTGCTTATTTTGGTATACTTAACAGGGACATGCTACATCAGTTATATCCCTGGCTCTCAATTTTCCTTTGCAAGGGAAACAAATCACCATTTTCAGCAAAGTATAGCAACTTTTAGTATTAAGAATTTGATTTATATATATATATATCTTGGGTAAGCAATTCTAATAATTATTATAACATAAATCAATACAAAGAACCACTGATTGTATTTTGATTTTTTTCATGAAACTTCCCATCACTTTCCAGTGGAAGCTTTATTCAAAGATGGAAGTTTATCCAAGCTCTTGCCCACTAAAACCATTTTGAAAGACACCAAGTTAGTCTAACATAGGACCCATGTAAGTCATGGCGTGGGTAGTTAAAATAGTATCAAAACAGGGCTGGGGATTTAGCTCAGCGGCATAAGGGCCTGCCTTGTAAGCGTGTGGTCATGAGTTCGATCCCTGGTACCAGTAAAAAAAAAAAAAAAAAAAAAAAATAGCATAAAAAGATTTTCAAACTTAACACTTTCCATATTTAATTGCTCTCAACACAAATGGTCAGAGCACAGTATTTTAAAAGTCTTCCACATAAGGGCCTAAAGCCCTCACTCAACCTTAAACATACTTAATATACTGAAATCCATATGTGGAATTTCTTTAAAGCAAATAATTTTTTCAACCACCAGATACTTAACCATTCCAAATCAAGAATGTTCACCAGCATTTCTTACCACAGAATCTATTAAGTGATTATGCATCAGTATCTCTAAGTAGCCTGAATTTCTGCACTTATCCTATGCATTTATTATCTTGGTTTCTATTAATTCTAATTTTCAGAACACAGTTCCTTTTACCCTTGAAGCTAAGCTTTTTTAAATAGAATAAACCATGTAGTGTGCCTATGTATGTTAGTGCCTCAGCTAAATTGATGTAAAAATTGTTCCAAATTCTAAATTTTATAGTAACTCTGGTTTTTAATCTTAAAATTCAACGTAAGAAGTTCTACCTACCCTACAATACTGTTACCTACTAAAAATCAGAAACAAATGAGCCATTACTTTACAAAGTGAGTGAGACAGAGAGACAGTTCATATAAAAACACCACCTTTGTCAAAACACTTGGAAATCCAATATGCTAAGTAAGTGAAATAAATGCCTTCAGTCAGCTTAGTTTTTGTAACGAACTGCTATCGATGGACAGACTTCCTGAAGAGCTTACTCTCGGAGGACAGCGCCTGCTTCCCCCTTATCTGTGTGCCCAGTGTGAGCAGCAGGAGCTCACTGGATGGCTGGGTGGATACTGCAGACCCCGGCCTCAGAATACAGGAGAGGCCTCCTAACTGAGAGCAGTCACTTTAGAAAGTTAATGGCCTGTTTTATCTAATTTCAAACAGGCCAGCAGAAGTGATTAAAACTGATCCTGTCGGATGGCAAATTAGCCTGGTAAGTAAAATGTATAGCAATTTGGGGTGCTGTCAAATGTCTCAAGTCCACAGATCCCATGGTGGCAATAGAAATTCGAAGAAAAGGAGGACTTCTACATATGTCCCTCTGGTCCAGATGCCAGGGAAAGGGAGGCACTTAGCACCTCATGTTACCAAGTCCCCACTGCCTAGCTTCTCCAAGTGAGCTCTAGCAGCAACCACACCTGGATCTACTGTCACTGGCCCCCAGGAGAGAAGGTTTGGAAACAGAGAAGCACCATCTGGAAGGGGAAATTTGGCAGTCATTTTATATTTGTGGTCTCCAAAAAGGTAAGAGGCTCATGTTGTATTTTGTGTGTCTCTGTTGCTTTATTTCACTTTTCTAGTAGCTGGTTTTCACTGTACTTTATGAGTAATGTTGATCCACATGAATTGAGAATCTTGGGGCAAAATGGAAAAGCCGTTGGCAATAGATAGGTAAAGAAGCACAGACTCCACCCAAAATAAAGTTCTCTAAAAACAGCAGGCTTGTTACACTCGGAAGAATACTGATTTGCCTACAGTCTTCTCTTACATCAGTTAAATATTAAGATTTTTGAGAAGCAGATAATTTTGCCCATGAGTAATACACTAAGCTCCTTTGATTAACATCTGAATTAATCTAGAAATATTTGAATTGAGGGCCAATGAGACACCAAATAATCAAAACTATTCAGATAAATTGAAATATTAATTAACATGTTTCACTTGGAAAGGGAAAGTTCTGTGATCAAACGAGTTTGGGATAATACATTCCTCCCCCTGGCTTCTCCAAGGGAAGCATAACACATATCAGTATTAGGGATCCTAGAAAGGGCAATAATTTTTTATAACTATATTTAATTATAGTCATATGATCCTCTTATTACTACATTATTTAGAAAACACCACTTTGGAAATGCTGCTAATGTCAAAACCCTTCTAGATGAACAATCAGAAACTTTTCCAGAGTATCATGAACTGGCTCTTTGCTTCACCTATGCATAAATTTGCCTACCCACCTCACCATCCTACTGAGCTGCCACATCAAATGAGTAAATGACCTAAAAGAAAGTTCATTCTGGGCACAGCCCTTGTTGTCCTATAACCCTCACCCCTGTAGCCCAACAACCAGAAGTGCGAGCCAATTTCCAGTCGTTCTGTAGAGCGTTCAGTGCTGTCTCCCCATCCTCTACCCACCCACTTCCAGCAAAGATTACTGTGCTGCTTCCCTTGAAAATCCCTAGTGTTTCCTACAGGTCTCCCTTGACAGATACGGTTGGTAGGCACCTGCCCTGCCCTTTCTTGGAAATGCAGGGTGAGTAGAATCAGGAGAAAGCTCTGCATTTGGCAAAAGCTCCAGCTGGGGCTCATGCCCACTTGGGCGGGTGCAGACATGTCTCAGAAATTGTAAGAAGTGAGAGATGGGTGGGACCACAGTACTTCGGGACTGTGGGTGCTCCTTGGAACACCCCCCTCCAAATCACCTGCTACTGCACCTACAGTACACAGGGCACTCAGTGATGACCTGCTCTGTGGGATCAATACTGCATCTCTAAGCAGGAGAACCATCAAAACATGAATGGTATCACAGCCTTGAACAAGAAAGCACTGTGACAAAGCACTCGTGTCGGGGCTTTGACAGCCTCTCTTTCCCACCCAATGCCATAACCCAGTTTCTATTCGACACTGAGTTCCCTGTTTCAACAATCAATAATACATCTTCCCTCAAATGACTGTTACTTTATAGTTCTGCTGCTCTTCTGTTTACTTCACAGGGGCCCCCAGAATTTGCACTACTTCTACAAGGTCATGTGGTCAGTGAAATGCAGAACAAGGAATTGGCTTTCCCTTCTAATCGCCAAACCACAAGGTCTTTGTTAAGGTCAAAATTACCATGAAACATTATTTACATAGTACACAAGGCACTCAGTTCTGCAGCTGTTACAAACACTAGCCACAAGGTAAAATAAAAAAATAAATAAATAAAAATCAAGAGATAAGGAGCCCTTCACTTTACTTACTGTTCACGTAAACAGTAAATGTCATGGAAGCATTGACATCAGAGTTAGACACGAAAAATGTGTAAGTGCCTCCTTCGGTCGCTTTTAGCCGGGTTAGATGAAGCTCATTGACATATCTATAAAGAAAGGACAATAAATCAACCCCTGCAGACAGCCTGCTTTTTTCACAGTTTCCACCTGGAAATTGTATGTTTGGAGGAAAATATGATTAATTTAATGTTAACAAAATCTATACTAAGAAATGTGCAATTTGGGACAAATGCCCACCATGTGAGTGAACAGAGTGTAGACAGGCTACCTGACCACTCCGTTCCCTCCCCGCCTGTGCTTTCTGCCACTTGGTTGCCCTGTGACCACCTCCTTCTTTGCCCCATGGTGCTTTCTCCAGCCTCCCTCACACCAGTGCTCTGAACTCACCTGGCCCGCCTGGCTTTGTGCCTCCTACCTGACGATGCCCCTGGCATTCACAAATTCACCATCTTCTCTTGTGTCACCCCCACACCTTGCTTCCTTCAGAGCCACGAGCCCCTGGTTTTCCTCACATACTGTACTTCTCCTCCCAGAGTCTCTTGTAGTATTTGTTATTCATGTGTCTGCTGGTGTGGAGAATGGGCACCGTATGATCCCTGAGCAAATTAATGGTGTGGGCATCGAAGTGGTCATCCCGGGGGGCAGTGCACAGTGGCCTTGCACACTCTTCTGCCATTCCTCATGCCTGGTTACCTATTCTCACCGAGCCACCTGCTGCTTACACACAACCTTCCAATCTCCATCTCTGGAACAGACTTCTCTGTCCTGCGCCTCTGAGCTGCACACGGGCCCCCATCTCCTTGCTACAAGGGGCGGCTATCATGCCTCACTTCACAATCTTCCCCTGACACCACCCATGCAAGTTTAGAGCCATTGGAAACCAGACAGCCTGACCCCTGTAGTCCAAGAGTGACCATGATGGACAGATATAAAAGGATCCGAGGTCACGTGACCCAGGGCCCTACTCGGTGCCCTTCCCTACCAAGTGTCTGGTCTCCTGTTCTGCATAAATTCTTTGCCTCAGAATTCTTATCTCAGCTTCTGCTTGTAAGAGACGCTTCCTACCTAATATACTTCCTGCCTGGACATCTTCACTCAAGATTACCCTGTCAACCTCCAATTTAACAAACTCTAAACTGGCCTCACCATCCTTCTCCGTCTTCTCCTTGTAGGATATGACCTCTTATCATCTAGCCCTTTAAGAGCATTTTTAGTTCTTACCTCCTCTGAACCCCTGGATCACCTGGACACCTCAAATTCCATTCTCTCCCCCACCTAATCCTTAGTCCTTGGCCCAGGATACCATCACTTCTCTCCTATAATCCTCTAGCAGTCAGACAGCTCCTGACCAGAAAAGTACGTGATCTCTCTCTCTCTCCAAGGACCTAATTCTTATCAGTAATTTGCTCTTGGTCAAATTACTTCACCCTTCTATACTTCAGTTTCTTCTCTCAAAAACAGGGAAATAAGAGTGTCTACACATAGGGTTTGTGAGCAGAGACATTACTGAGTAGAATGTGTAAGGGACTTAGAGCCATGCCTGACAGACACAAAAGCACGCAAATACTATCTTTTTATTACAATACTTTGAAGATCAAACGAGAACTCTGATGTAAAAGCTTTTGAGTTCACTGCCCAGCTCAAAGCTACTGTACTTAATGATTTTGTTTATTTTTTTCTCAGAGTTTTAAGAAACAAATAAAAAGTACCAGCTTACTTCTTTCTGTGCAGAGAGTTACTCATCTCACCCTCAATATACGACCACTGCTTTGGGTTATCCTCAGAATTCTAGGAAAAAACTGTCTCTCATTTTACAAATAAGAAAACTTAGGCAGAGACTTTCTTTGTGTGTGTGTGTGTGTGTGTGTGTGTGTGTGTGTATGCAAATATACTCTAGAAACACAGCAAAAGGGAATATATGGATGAGGACTCAAGTCTTCCTTTCTTACCTGGGGGTCTTCTCTTGCACGGAGGGGTGACAGATGTGAATCTGAGAAGGTCAATGACAAGAAGGACACAGGCATAAGCCCCAGGGCAAGGCCCATTCTTACCTGATGTTACTTTCATTCTTAGACTTGGGATAATCGTCCCATTTGTTGGTGGAGGTCCTGTTCATATATATCCACTGATGGTGTCCAGGTTTGGGGTATGCCTCATATTCAACAATCAAATCTATGTTTTCTCCATCATTTACAAATACAGTGGTGTTCATCATGGAGAAGATATTAATGAATCCTTTATCTAATTAAAATAAGACAGAAGCTGTTATCTACTACTATCCTAACCAAAAAAAAAATATACACATATATTATCCCGTTTGGAGTTAAAAGATGAGGGACTGAGACTGCCAGTACTAACTGGCAATAATAACAACTAAGAAAACCCTGACTGGCTATGTTACCGCCCATTTTGCTCGTGGAGACCCACTCTCCTAGTGTGAGTGATGGGCACTGGAAATACTGACTCTCCCATCTCTGAAGCATCATCAACTCTAAGGTCTTCTCAATCCACTATGCCTTAACATTACTAGGTTTAAATGTATTTGGGTTAAACAGCCCAGACTCAGACTCAGTAATAATTGTTTATGTGATTAGAAGGTGTCATAAGTGAAAGAGACATCCTACCTAATAAAGATATTCAAAGAATGTCATTTGATATATGAAGAAAAATATAAACCTTCTGATATCATTTATTACTGAAAACTTAAGACATTTTAACAATCAAACCATACTTTTAACCAAACCAGAGTTGACTCCTGTCTGACTTTTAAAGAGGGGATAGGTTTTGAGGCTTTTGGAAGTACCAGAGTAAAAAAGAAAAAAAAAATGCACAAAAGAGTCAACTACATAAACATTTCCACTTAGTAAAATTAAATAGTATAACAGGGGAAAAAGGACATTAGAATACAGAAGGAAAATTGTTTGGCTAAACTAGTAATTAAAATTATGATACTGAGTTTCACTTATTAAAAATAGCAAAACTAATTTAAAATAAATTCAAGAATCTTGCAAGTATGATAAAAGTAGCACACTGAATTACACACTGTAAAACTGGCAGTTCTTTTAGGAAAGCATTTAGCCATACAGTTTTTTTTATATTATCTATTTTTAAATCGAATCCTGTAATTTCCATTAGAGTGTTTTTAAAAATGGGGTGGATGGAGATGCGTACGGAAAAGTGACGTTTGTACTGTTTACAATTTTTTAACTAACAAAATAAAGAACTGGTTAAATAAATAATACAGAGATGGACACATAATAAAGAGCCTGAAACGGGGCACTAAAATAATTGCCAATATTATTTTTATGTCACTATTTTTAGTGTTTACAAATGCCAACAACTGTCCTAAGCATAATTTTATTTAATACATAATGTGTATCCTTCCAACAATATTGAAAAGTAAAGCTTTAACCTATTTTATAGACAAAGAGGTTATAGATTGAAAACTTCTAATTTGTAGATAGAGCTTATAAGCTCTAACTTATAGATGAAATAAATGGTTTGCATTTGGCTCAAAAGCTACATAGCAGAGACTAGCTTTCACTACAAGTCTGAGACGTCAGGGCTGGCCCCTTCCTACTGTAGCATTTCCTGAAGTCTATATATTTTAGGTGAGAGACAGTAAGAATATAAATAAAATCGTATGTATAATTAAACTCTTACATACAAAAATATAAGCAATGTACCAAAACTCTTAAAGATGGTTATATCAAATTAATGGGATTAGGAAAGAATCTTAACTTTATTTTTTTTCAAACTTTTAATATGAATTATAAAATTATCATTCATTAACAAACAAAATATATGGTTCAACTGTCTTTTTCCCATTGTGCCAATTAAAAAAGGATTTTTCAGGTGAGAATGAAAATCATCCAAATGAAAACTGGAGAAAGATGGAAACTCCCAAACCCGAACATGAATCATAAACAATATACTCTCTACCATTCATTAAGCCAATTAAGGTTAATTTTAAGGAATAAATGTTTCAACCTGCATGATACATAAAATTATTAGGTTCTCAAACTCAGACATTCATAGTACACAATGCAAAATACTCAGGTATTTCAAGTAACATTTTCAGTGAGATTATTTCTTTCACAATAGTCATATATAAATACTTAAGTCCTCCTGATTTTTTTAAACTCTCATTTGCTCAATACAGAATTATGTCTTATAATGGAACACAGCTTCAAATTCATAGCATGTAAAAATTATTAGAACTCTGGATGCTACAAGAAAGAATCAAAGAACTGCACTCAAGTTGTTGTAATATAAAATAGTTTTTCATATACTTCTGCATTAAGAAATTGGTGATATGTTAGCAAGCAATCAATGCAACCTCTTCACCTGCCAGTTTCATGAAATCTGCTGCCTCTTCTCCTTTGCACAGGTGGGAGTGATGAAACTGTGTTTCTCAGAAGAGAGGAATGCGGACAGAGCTAAAGCAGGGTACACTAGAAAGTCCCACTGGCAGAGCCCAGCACTCAAAACTCTGTCAGCTCCTAGCCCCTCTTGTCACAGCTACCAAAAAGGCTGTGTGGGATGATGCACGAAGTTAAAACTCAATCACCTTTTTACTGTCTACATATATCCCATCACAGCACACACATAACTCAGCTATAAATCGTTGTTTTAAAATTATCTGAAAACAAAACAACTCAGGGTGGTCCCCCATCCCTCTTTCCCCATTCTATGTTGTACCCAAACCCTATTCCTAGTCCCTAAATAATACTTTTCTCTTTGTCCCTTCCTGTTCCTGTTCCACCACACCTCACTTTCCAAACAATATAAAACTAGATTCAGATTTCACAGCCACAAGTCTTTCCAGTCACACATTTCTAATTCTTGGAAATTGATGAATGGATTTTTAAAATCCGATTACATACAACAATATGCTCAAAACATCCTTACTAATTGCTTTCTGGAGCTGAAGCTGATATATCAACATGCTCCCTAATCAACTTAGCAAATTAGTGCTCATGGCGTTTAATATTTTAAAAGCATAGCCTTCTATTCAAATTAATAAATGGTTCACAGTCACACTTAGGGACAGAGTAGTACTCTTTCTGTGTGGAGACTCTATAATTGCAAGTGAAACTTGAAATCTTTTCAAGTTCAGTCTGGTGAGATATTTTCCATTAGAACATGGCTTCAGAAACACCAAAACTTTATGAGATTATTGTGGGAAAAATCAGCGCTCTAACACTGCTACATAAATTATTGAAGAAGTTGGAGGAGGAGAAGAGAGATATGAACACATATTGGTAGTTCTAGTACTACTCATGATGGCAAATTTTTCATTACCTTGGAATATTTAATCAAAGCCAAGCACTAAGACTACAGCTGCATTAAAAAGACAGGAAAACAAACATTTAGTGGGATTTTCAGAGTAGGGAAGACAATAATAAACCAATTATGCATACCAGATATGATGGGGTCAGGGGTAGATGATTATGTTTTCATTGATGGTATATAAAATCCATGTCACAATGAGCCTCCTTCCTGAAGGTTTAGGCTACAATCTTTATGGTTGCAGAACAGGGTGAGGGAGAGGGGGACAAAAGGCACTAGATGCCCAGCTCACCCCGTACTAAAAATGCACAAGAGCCAACAAGTGACAAAGGCAGGAAAGCTCTAAACTAAACAATTCAGAGAAACATTTCAGGCCCTGGGCATTTGCGTTCTCTGACAAAGAAAGTCTACAGCCACTTCCAAGCTCAGATCTTTCATCAAGGACCAAAATTTCAGAAAAAGCTCAACTTATACTTGGCGTGATGGGTGGGTGGCACAGAGGAGGAGAGGTTTAACTTCAGTAACACGTTTCTGCTTTTCTCTGTTAAACCAGTACAAGGCGCTTTTGTATGCTAGTGTCATGATAATACTCATTCATTCATTCATTCATTCAGTGATAATAAAATTCTAAGAATCTGTTCTTAGAATTCCATTTGCATAAAAAGGAAACTGTCTAGTAATTTCTTTCACTTTTGCCAGTAATTTATACATTTCCATAGATATTTACCTACTACTTTCAAGGTTGTTGTGACATTTGCTGATCCAAAAGTATTATTGGCGTAACACATGAACACTCCAGAATCATTAACTCTTGTTGGGCTGATTGTCAATGTTTCTTGGCGCTCATAATTGAAGTCACCCCGATGCCAGCTATTACGTTTCACCTGGGCTTTAGTTAGCTGGTTTCAGAAGGAGGAGAAAAAAAAAATCAAAGATTACCATATAATTTATATTCAAGATCTTTCCTAAATTAAAAATAGCAGCAATTAACTTCTTCATATTAGCATTCATTATACATGACTTAAGTAGGAATAAAGCATCATGACAGGCTGTCATTGGAACCCTTCATATTACAGAATTATATTGAAAGATAGTCATTATCAGTGATTACAAAAAGACAGGAACACTAATTTCAACTTCTCTGCAGTATTAGATTTTAGAAGTAACTATATTAAAAAATTACACAATACTGACATTTTATGAGTCAGCATACTTTTATTAACATTTCCTCTTATTTATATCTTTCTGTTGTATATTCCAGTGATGAAAGAAAATACAGTGCTACTAACAATAATATTCATTTTATTAACATTTCTTATCTGCAGAAATGAAAACAGAATCAGACTTTATTCAAATAATTCATAAATTCATCACACCGCTCTTAGAAGGGAGTGCCAAGGTATATAAAACACGTAAGATCAAGCCCCAAAGTATTCGAGCAGTGGCTGATGAGAAAGGACTGTCAGGTTACCCTTGTGGTTTCCTCCCACTCATTATTTGTCCACAGACAAGACAGGAGATTGCTTGCATTTAAAATATTTTTAAAAAGTAATAATAACAAACCACAGCAGAAAAGATTAAAGAATTGAATGAAAATAGCTTTCTGCCTGTTCCAATTTTCTGCAATGTACATGCATTCCTATTATAACGGGAAAACAAAACAATTAAAAAATCAAAGCAAACAGGAGCTGTTACAGACATGAAATGAGACCAAGCACAATGACTTGGGCAGGCTACGGTGGCCCTAATTGGAGGGACTGGAAGCCAGTGTGGTAGTCACAACTTCCTTCTGTAGAGCAACTTGGTAGTGTAACACTCTGTTTATTTCAAGAAAACAATTTAAAAGACAAAACTCTAAGATGTCAACTGCAGTGAAAGCTTGAAATGACCTAAGTGTCTTATCAGGTAGAGATAACAACAAAAATTATGACTATGTGGCAAATAAATGTTAATGTTACATAAGAAGTGGGTGTGGAATGTATCTTAATACTACAACCGTGTGATAAAATATAAAAAAAATTACAAGCAGCATTTATAAAGACAGCAACTTGTGACCACTAAGCACCATGTGACAGCCCACATTGAGTTATGCTCTCAGTATGTTTAAAATGCCCAGATTTTGATGATTTGGTGTTAAAAAAACTAATGCAAAATACCTTATTAAAAGCTTTTATATTAAGTAGAGGATAAAGTAACATTTGGATACACTGGGTCAAGTAAGATATATCATTAAAACAAATTTTACCTTTTTTTTTTTTTGCTTTTTGTAATTGTGACTGGCAAATTGAAAATTACATGTGAGGTTCATTCACATTTTATTTTTGTTACACATTATTACTTTCTACAAAGCTGGGGCTATACCTATTTCTATTTTTTTACTAATGATATTACATTTTTGTAATTGTTTTGGTGGGGAGATTTCATGCAGGGCCTTGCACTTGTTAGGTGGGCACTTACCACTAAGCTACACCCGCAACGCAATTTCTAAAAAACATTTTACATCAAAATGAACATGAATAAATGTTGACTGCTGACCATGAATGAAAAGCAGAGAAACTTGCTTTGCTATAGCTGTGAACTTGTGGGCAGGTCGCACACCATTAGTCTTAGCTTTCGTCCTAGAAGGGTGTAAAGGAACAAGTGTGTCTTTCTAGGCCTTCCGGCAGGCTAAGGATTTGAAGCCACCCCTGAGCTGCCTGTTTAGTTGGCAGAAATCTGTCATTTTGCTGCATAACAAGATCAATAGCTAAAAAGAGGCAACAGCAAAGCCAAGTGACATTTTCTTCCTGGCCCTTCTGAGGTCATTGTTTTTCAGATGTCTCAAAAAGCAGTGACAACGATTAGACAACACACTAAATTCTAAAATGAACTATCTTCCCTCTGCCTCTTTCATGAGGCCAAGAGTCAACAGGGAGGTAAACAAATAGTTAGAGTGGTCAGTGCCAGACCAAATGGCTTGGTCCTAAGCAAAGCAATATCCAGAGCCAAACCAAAAGATCATAATTTAGGATACTGTCAAACTCAGAGTTAAAAGCAAGTAGACTACTAGACTTCAGAACCATTAGAAAAGCTAACCAAGATTAACAAATGTTGAATCAACTTCAAGGTTCTTTTTATACTTAAGTAACTACAATAACCCCAAAACTCACTTTCACCCTATATTTCATGATGAATTAACCTTATTCTAAATGATTGGGATCAAATGTTAGGATTTTTAAGATAATTTAATAGTGCTAACAGTATTCCAAATTAAGCCAAAAATATCAATAAAAAATTCATGGGTGAACGTTGGCCGAGAGCCAGGAGCCCCATCTGTGAGTCACACATCACATATTGTTTGCACGTGATTTGGTTTTCTTTAACCCTTGGCAGTGCACGCTGGGATTTCCCCAAAGAGCTCCCAACACTAAAGGTTTATCTACCAGCGCCAGTGGATTAATTGGGAATGGCATGCAGGGCTCCTGGGAAAAATGGTGCAGAACCAAACCGCCTGGGGCAATTTAATTTCTCATCTCAAAAAGACTAATTTTCAAGTAATACAGAGGCTCCAATGGACACACACAATCTAAATTGTTCTCTCATCTGAAATCACAGATTATAGAAAGCCAATTAATATGGTATTGTTTCCTGTAAAGTTAGCCAAAAATCCATATGGAAGCCATTATGTTTATTACATTATATGATATGAAAACTAAAACTTGTTTCCCTGGGCCACTGGTTTGAAAGAACAAGTCTCTGAGACAAACTATCTTCCCGATCAATGGCAGGCTTGATGTAGCGAGATATCATCCATCACGTCTCCATGAATATCACCACGATGTCTCTGCAGTATGCTAATAGACACAGCTGGTTGGTTTGCAAAGAATCTTTAAATAGGCATGAAATTGCCAATGGTGAAAACAGGGAATGAGGGAGACGAGGAAGAAGAGAAATTAGAGTACTTTTTTCTAATTTATATATATATTTGTAATGAAGAGAAACCAGTGTGACAACTAGCAAGTAGGTGACCAAGACTATCCAAAAAAGATTAAAATTTCACTCAATCAGAATCTTAAGGTGAAAATATTACAGACATTAAGAAAATTTTAAAATCCTATTGTTAATGTAAGTTTAGAGATAGAGAGGGGGGAAAAAACCCTTCAAATAAAACCAAAATAGGCACATGCCTGTAATCCCAGCACTCAGGAGGCTGAGGCAGGAGGATCACTGAGTTTGATGCCAGCCTAGACTACATAGTGATCAGGGCAAGCCTGAACTACAAGTGAGACCCTGTCTCAAAATAAATAAATAAGTAAATAAACCTACCTAACTGAAATTGACCTGGGATGCATCTCAGTTGCACAGTGCTTGTGTAGCATGTGTGAGCCCTGGGTTTAATCCCCAGCACTGCATGCAAACACACACAAGATATGGCTAACATGGTACTAACACACAGTAGTCATTGAATATGCATTTGTTAAATGAGATCGTAAACATGTCTAAATGTTTCAGCTTAAAGATAACTGTCTTATTAATCATAACTATAACAAACAGAAAATCATTAGTAACTTATTCTCAGGTAACCAGCTTCAAAGGAGGGAATCAGAGCCCTACCTTTCCTCAAAAACATCTCAAAAGATGAGGCTATTTTGGAGCGGGGGGAAGACCTTTCTTGTGCATGTCTGAGACTGTTTAGTCTTTGAAATTATGGGGAAGAAAAAGGCCACTCTTTCTACTATTTTAAGTCATCTGGCTTGAGCAGCACAATAGCTTTAACCCAAGCCATTTATTCACGCAGTTAACCATTCTTTTTCCTTAATGTCCCTAATAAAACCATTCAAAGAAACACATTAAGTAGTAACACGAGGCTACCATTCTCTACAATTTTCTCAGAATTTACAACATGACAGCTACCTGTCACTAATGTGGAAGTACGTAATGGGCAAGCGCATCGGAACTCTCCCAGACAACTTCAACTAGACAGACACACCAGTGGGCTCATGCCAGCACACGCTTTCACAGGAAGCCCTCACCGTCTCCCACACAGACACGATACATTAAGACAAACGAAAGAAGTAATCCACTCACCTGACTGTTCTCTTTTATCCACATTGCACCCACGGAACTAGACACATCTTTTATTGTGCATGTCACTGTAAATTCTTCCCCTTCCCTCAGAAGATAGCTGGGTTTAGACACAGACACAACTGGTATAGCTTTGATGGCTGGAATAAAGAGATGCAGAGCTTTAAGAATTGGCTCTATTACCACAGGAAATCTTAACTTGCCGTTTCCCCTTATGATGGTCACAGCTTACTCTGTCATCTTTTAAATAAAACACAAAATGTGGTACAAACCTACTTGTACTATTTGTACATCTGAAGACTTGTATGTATTTAATCCACAATTAAATCACATATCCTATACTGAGTGACGAGGCAGGTATGTCTACATGAAATCATACTGTTTCTGGGAAATACCTTTTTAAAACAGGAAGCCCTGGCATTGTGAAGCAGCTTTATGATTTCGTGGGATCTGACTTATACCTAATTATATTCTTTTAACCAAACAGGCACCTTTCTCACTTGTTACACGAATAGTACCTTGCTCTCTTCTGAAGATCCCAAGTCGGTTTTGTTTTGTTTTTAGTTTTTCTGACAAGACTTCACTATGTAGTTCAGACTGGCCTTGAACTCATTTTCGTAGCTGAGGTTGGCCTCGAACTTGCAGCAATCCTACTAACTCAGCCTCCTGAGTGCTGGGACTACATTTATGCACCACCATACCCAGCTAAAATCCCACGTTTTAAATAATCATGTTTTCCTTAATTTAAAGAAGCATACTTTTTCAAAAGTCTTAATAAAAATTCTACTCCAAATTTGAATGCCAAATGTTATCAAATTAGGTACTTTCAAAATCTAGATCATGTTCAGCTACTGAAATATTGTTTAATATGCCACAACAGTATCCAGGCCCACTGTCACTTGTTACTCTCCTTTTTGATTCTCAACTAGTTTGAGAAGGCATCAAGATTAATGGGCTAGGGGGCTGGGGATTTAGCTCAGCAGCATAAGCGCCTGCCTTGCAAGCAGGCAGTCGTGAGTTCGACCCCCGGTACCCATAAAAAGGAAAAAGACAAAAAAAAATTAATTGGCTAAAGAGAAAAGCCAATTCACATGTCAATACCAAGTTAAAGAATGAGTTAGTAATCCCAGAGACTTAAGAGGCTAAAGCATGAGGATCACAAGTTTCAGCCTCAACAATTTGGAAACTCTGTCTCAAAGACCAAGGGCTGGGAGTGTAGCTCAGTGGCATCTGCTTCGCACATACAAAGACCCGGGTTCCGTCCCCAATAGTGTGGGAGAGAGGGTGGCTCACTTATAGGTTAATTGTTTCAAAAATCAAGTGTGATTAAAGCTTCCTTCCCATTGGGTTCCTCACTGTGCAAACACACGATGCAACCATGTAATGTGAGACGACCCAAGTCAGTGGGTTTATGACCACCCCACGATGGTCTAAATGCGGGTACACAGCCACCTGAAAGTCACTGACCACCACCTGGGTTTGGGAAGCAGCCATCTCTATCTGGCAGTCTGAAGAGCTCAAGAGCCTGGGCCCTGCTTACCTACACGAAGGCTGACCAGTAAGGAGACAGAAAATATCTAGATGAACAGTCTCTGATGCCCAGAAGGAAGGGACCATACCTGCCCTCACTTTCAGGATGAATCTGTCCGACTGTATCAACTTGCCCTTCTGATAGGCAGTGCAGCGTAGACAGAGTCGATGATAGGCACGCTGCACGTTTCTGATGGTGATGCCAGCCTTGGGGTCGGGCACAAACGTGAGGTCTTCGGGGAGAGGCTTCCCATCGCACTCCTTGAGGGAATAATTGGTCACCTCTGGGTCCGTCAGAGGACAGCGGACCAGCGTGTCATTGTCTTCTTTCCCATACAAGGGAAGACCAATAAGGAAAAGTCTGGCAGGATCTATAAACACAGTAAAAATCCGTGGTTTAAATGACTGGTCACAAGCATTTTTAACCAGTTTAAAATGCTGCCCTTTGGGACAGTCAAATCTGTGCAAACAAGAGAAAAAAATGTATCCAGACAGTACTAACAAGTAAGAGTTAACACTTACTAAACACCTCCATGTGTCAGTGACTAAGGTTAGACCCCTACATACATCCTATCTTATTTAATTTTCACAATGTCTCTGTAGTATAGGTTGAGTAGCCTTTTTCAGAAAGGTTTCATATCAGACATTTCAGATTTTGGAATATTTGCATAGACTTTACCAGTTGAGTATCCCTAATCTGAAATCCACAACCCAAAACTTACGTCATGGTGTAGTTGACAATGTTTCAGATTTCAGAGCATTTTGGATTTCAGATTTCTGGATTTGGTATGGTTCAACTTATAACATCCTCACCACATTATGGATAAAGGAACAAATCTCAAAGCAGTGACACTCCTCAGGTGACATACCCTGGAAAATGCTGTGCAGGCCTCAAATTCAAATCTGAATGATTCGAAAGCTTGAACTCTTATCTGAGAATACTTTAGTTCAATAGTCCCCCCCCCCCAGACCCACACACAAAAGGAGCAGCATCCATGAGTGAGCCAGTCTGATGATTCCAGCTGAGGGCACTGGAGGGTTTCACGGTCTCTAACCCCTCTGTGCGGGACCTTTCCCCAGAGCTGCCAGGATCTAGACTGGTTCAGCTCCTGAAGGGACTCTCAACAATTCTGAGCAGGCTTGGCAGTGCAAGTAACATGTCAATCTCCCTCTATTCACATTCCTGCAGAGAAATACACAACATCAGGAAAAGATAATCTCAAGTGCGCAAGACGAGCTGCAAGTCTCCGAAACACCACGGCAGACACCGTGCTCCCCAAACCAGGACTCTTCTGAGTGCAAAGGACAGTTGGATCATTACACCATGACATCAGACCTTGCCAGGAATGGCCCAGCAAATGGGGATGAGCCACACAAAGACAAGCCTATGTATTTCATGGGCACAGTTTGCTGCCACCCGCTCCCTGTGACTGGTAACACAGATGAACGGGGGGGGGGGGGGGGTCCACTGATTGCATTCAAAAATCTGTTTTCAAATTGTCCTTTCCATATGGAAATCAGGTGTCCTAACAAAGTCAAATTTGACATCCTTAAGATACACCTACATTTTATCAATTAATTTTTAAAACAATGACAGAAGTGAAGTATATACCTGTCAGCCTTACTAATTTCCCTGTGAAGAACTTACAATATGATCGTCAAATTATGATTTGAAGCAAGAGTTGCTTACTGTTCAGGCTGCTCATCCTGAGTCATCAGAGTCTATCTCTTACAACAATGGCCTGCTTTCTTCCATGGCTGTGACACAGATTACTTCAGAATCTGAATGTCTTAACGGTAATAATTATGAGTAGACCAAAGTTATATAGCAGTGTGTGCACTCCGTGAACCAGCTGGCTAATTCTGCAATTTTCCTCAGGTATTCCGTTTGCCACCCATCCTAATACGCAGAAGGATTATTTCATTACACCCAGAAATTACAGCACCCAGGCTGCTTCAATAATGATGGAACTGTAGCCCAAAGCGAAGCTATGGCTTATCTGTGTGTCCTTCTTCTCAGTCACCACTTAGGAAAGGACAACTGATAACTTAGGAGTACAGGAGATGTCCTGGCTATCCTCAGGGTCAGCTTATTAACCCCTGATACTGTGAGCTAGAACTTGCATTGTTCTCTCTCTTACAGTTTCCTAAGGCAGAGCGGTGCAGGTCACCTTACCCAAAGACTGCAAGTGAAGAAACATCCAGTACTCATCCATACTACCATGGATAAGGCTTCTCACCTCAGGCCCCTCTTTAATGACAGCCCCAGGCCTGGAACACCCAGGACTTTTATTTCTTCTCCTGTAACTTGGATTTGTCTTTTAAACTTCCAGTAGTTTAGGTTTTAGTCAACCAAAGGACACAGCCCTATCCAGCAAGATAGTAAAAGCACAAACAGATGAGTCACTAAATATGTCAAAGGAAATGAATAGAAAGCCAGCGTACTGTTTCTTTTGTTTTTAAGAGATCACCTTTTTTTTTAAAAGGAAATCAACTCTACAAATAACCTGTGGCAGACAGCAAAGGCCTAGCTGATCAAGATGGTTTGTTTCTGTTTTTCCATTTTACTCCCTAAGAGTGGGCCAAATCTTTTGAAGTGCTGGTCTATTGAGATTTTACAGGACTTTGGCTCCCTGAAGTGTTTTCACTAAGTGAGAATATCTAGAATCTCAAAGCATTAAGATGCCTCTATCCCAAAGGGCATAATTTATTCTCAGGTTTTACTCAGAGCACTTGGACAAACAGACTAAACATACTGTAATCTCGTTAGGAAGAACATCATAGCCTTGCACACCTCCAGCTGTGGTCACACTCACAGCCACTATGCTTCAAAAGCTGGTGGAAACCAATGAAGAAATACTTCACATTTAGGCTTTCTCAACTCAGCCCCCAAAATTTTAACCTAAGGCTTAGTCATCTAATGTCATTCAAAATTAAGAACCAGACACCAAGTCCTCTAAAGCATAGCATCACAGGAAGCAGGCATTTACCTCTAACAAATACATAGATGGAGCTGCTTAAGCCGTCTTTGTTGATGCACGTGTACCTGCCCGTGTGGCTAGCCTCGGCCTTTTCTCTGACCCACTCACTGTCCTTGTTCTCGCTCGTGTGATCCAGGCTCTTGAAAGTCCATCTGACAAAGGCTGGATCCGTGCATGTCAGCCTGATCTGGTCACCAGCGTTGACTATTAACTCTGATTGTGCAGGCACGATGGATGGGGGAGACAGTTCCCCTGGACTCACAGATGGTTGAGAAGAGCCTGCCAAGAAAAATAAGAATCGTGTTGAGTTTGATCTCCTTCCTTGGCAAAATGAAGCATTTCTTCCAATACTGAGTTCCATCTTCTATGCACTCTACAATAAAAATAGGATGAAGCAGCCTTGCTATTTATGGCTGGAGAGGGAATTATATCTAAAGTTCATCTAGAAAAAAAAAATTTTTGCAACCCTTAGTTAATACTCAGGGTCATGGTTTGGTATGCAAGCTGGAACTTGCTGGATAGCACGGCCTTCATAGGGTTAAACATACAAATAGGTCAGCTTTCCATTATGATTATGGGCCACTGTCATGGTGCTGACACGCTGACAACTTAAAAACGAACTCTCATGCTGTGGAAGCAGGAAAAAAAACTATCAGCCAATCACTCTTTTAGCAACAGTGTACATGGCATGACATCTCAGGGTTTTCTTCAAGCTTTATGAATTCACTTATTTCCACCTAATTCTCTTTATGATACAATGTTCATCAAAGGAGAACTACTCACAAATCTCTAAGCAATTAAGACAGAAAACAATCATCCCCTTAATATGATCAAATCATGAGTTACTTGATGGCATATGCTCGCTTTCAAACTCAACAATCTAATGCCTAGATAAGCTTCTTGAATAAGAAACCAGTGTATCTAATTAATAAAGACACACATTGTAGATGCTGAGTATAAAACTTGAACCTTTGAAAGTTTACAGAACAAAGCATTTATTCATGCAGATACAAGCATGCATCCGTGTATTTGAATATCTGCAAAAGCACTGTGCTAGGTGCAAGGGAAAGTACATGCAGGTGACACATGATCATTACACACTTCAGAGCTTCAAAAACAAACTACTTAGAATAACTGAATTAACAAACTCCTCTAGAATAATGGAATTAGAGCTGTAAATTTAAACTGAATGAAAAGAAGTGTTCTGCACCTTGACCATAACAGGAGACAAAGCAGAAGGAGGAGGTGGCTCGAGGAGAAGGCTGGCACTGAGCTGGGCATGTGAGGCCTTCTGAGCTAAAAGAACCAGCATGGTTGGCAGCCAGGGCTCCTTGAGGAGGCTAGGAGAGGTAGGATGGAATGGAAACAGATTGTCCAGAGCTTTGCACATCTGGGTGTGATACCTGCAATGTACCAGAGGCCATGCAGACTCAACACATGCTCCCATCCAAGAAAAGGCATGGGCATGCACCACTCTGCAAGCAAGGTGATAAATTAAAGAGTATGATGACACTGTCATAAAAAGAACCTGCTAAGGGCTATAAGTTTTAGTGGAATAAAAAACCCAGAAGGCTGACTCACAGATGATTTGGTGAAGGGGCAGAAGAAAAGGTTCCTGGGGGAGAAAGCACAGGGCAACAGCACAACAGAATTCCTGAGAGGCTTTCAATTGCTTCCATAGGATTATCCAGAAAATGGGTTGACATGGTGGCACATCCGTGTAATCCCAATGTTCAGGAGGCTGAGGCCGAAGAACAGTGTGAATTTGAGGCCAGCCTGACTACACAGTGAGCTCAAGACCAGCATAAACTATACAGGTAGGCCTGATATCAAAAAATTAAATTAAATTAAAAATACAGAAAAAGTAAAAAAAAGGGTTCATGTGTATGGGACTTGTGGCCCCTTCTACACACCTACACCAGCCTGGAGAAAGACTGACTTGAGTTCTTAGGCATAGCAAAAGCCATTTAAGCCAAGTGAAAAAAGGCACAGATGGGGCAAAGAGCATGGGTATAAAAACTGCAAGAATAAGCCTCACGCTGGCCATGACAAGTTCAGGATAGCAGAGGCTGAGGACACAGTGTGACCCAAAAAGGACTGGGACAGGGCGGCACAGCCCTGATAGCACCTGGTATGGGCTAGATGAACGGACTTAGTGGATTGCTTTCGACCTGAAACTCAGATGGTCATAGCACAGGGATGAGTTTGAAGTTTAAAAGAAAAAGAAATGACCGAATCATTGAAGAAAAAAAAGCAAGCACCAACTTCAAAGGGCTCTAGGTTGTACTAGTGAAGAGCAATCAGGAAAAGAATCACAAGAGAATTTATAAAGAGGACCATTAAAAGGAGGGAGGGAGCCAAGGAAGACCAGACATCAGAAAGCTGCAGACAAGGGGACGGTCCCGAGGTAGGTGCCAGAACAAGTGCCCTCCCCGACACAGGGACCGCTGGGAATCCAAGAGCACAGTTCAGGGGCGTGAAAATTTCTTTTTGCTCCAGAGTTAAAGGTTCCAAGTGCAGACCTCTCCTTGGATGCCGATAGCACTGGAAGAAAGAAAAAAATGTGTTGCCAAACAAAGCTGAAAGATAAGAAAACAGAACTGCCCACATGAGAGAGGTTAGAAGGAAGGGACAGGGTCCACCCAAAAGTGCTTAACAGAAGGTTGGCATTGTTTCCTGCACAAGAGTACAGAGATGACCAGTCTCATTTCCTGTTTATTATCCAAATACTTCACACCTAGAGGCACTGATATAGCCCCATTGTGTCAAGCAAAGTACACCTGAGACAAAGAGACTCCCAAGCAGCCTTGATTTGCTGAAAATAATAAGGTCAGTTATAATCATTAAATGTTATTAAGTAGCAACGAGGTGAGAAGTGCTGTAAGGTGAAACAATCTGTGTCCACCAGGCTTTGCATCTAAGTGGAGCAGCCAGAATCAGGACACACAGCGGCTAGGATTATTCCCAGAGCTGTATAGAGCAGTAAATGTTGAAAACAGAATCAGCGACCAATCAAGATGCTACTACTGCATTCCCATTATCCAGCCCTCTTTACAAAGCAGCGGTTCAAACTGAGTCTGCTCCTAATATTGTTCATAAATTTGATCCAAAGTTCTCAAAGGACTTATATTGCAATATATTTCAATCATTCAGTTTTCTCATGAGTTGATCTTATGATGTACGTGGGACATACACAGGTAAAGCACTTTAGCAGACTAAGTATGTGTGGTTCTTGAATTAAGACTGTCTAGATTTGCATCCTGGCTGTGCCCCTTACTAATTCTGGGCCAAGTGACTACTCAGTTCTGAACTAGGTTCTCCCTGTAAAAAGTGGGGGTGGCAGCAGCCCCTGCTTTATAAGGCTTCTGTGCAAAGCACTAGAACTTGCTTGGATACACAGTGAATATATAACACATACTACACAACTTACGCTAGAAACAGAACCTCTTATCGGCCCCACAAATCAGCTTGGACTCCCCACTTCCTGTTTCTGCGAAGGGCTCCCAGGTTGGCTCACACGCTCCTGGGCCACTTCTTCCCACAACAGCAAACCCTGGCCATCTTTCCTAGGGAGCCTGCACTGCATGCCCCAGGTTCCTTTCCTCCTGCTGCCTTACCCAGACAAGCCTGCCCATCTCAGAGGGAGAGAATAACCCACCTCAAGCACTTCCCTGCAGCCCACCTCCTAACCTGAGATCCATAACCTCAGAGCTCTTTACCACTCTGGGCCAGCATCAAAGCGTATAACGGTTGCAGCAGTGTCAGCAGCAAACACTGGCCTTGTGGATGGCTTGAAAAGCACTTCATGGGATTCCTTGACAGCTGTTTTCCTCAGACCCAGCCCTCCCTCTCCTGGCCTAACCAGCTAAGAGTCCTGAGAGCATGCTTCACCCCTGCCTGCCATGGCCGAGGCACACGTTCTCCACCAGTCCCCTTCCTGTCACAGGACAGCACGGCGGGAACCCTCCAGGTCATGACGACCAGCCCTCCCTCCCTAAATCGTTCCAGCATGTCAACCACACCACCTACTACCATCCTGACGCTCAACAGTAGACCTAGTTCATCCAGTTTAGTTCATCCTAGTTCATCATCTAGTTCACCTCATTTTATTTGGTAATAAAATAATTACCACCAGGAGCATGCAAGGTTTTAGTTTCAAAACTGTTAAGTTCAAACTTCAAACTTATACTATAAAATAAAAATAGTTTTATTAGGATGGGACTCTGTGTAATGTGTATTCCCTTGTTTCCAAATTATCTCAAATGTTGTTATAAAGTTCTTGCAATTAGGATAAATGTGGCAATTAATCAAAGGGAGGAGACAGGTTGATTGATTGGTTCGCATTAAAGGGATAACTTTCAAAAGGTAAATTAACTGATATTTGAAACTGCTGTGAAATACATTAAGAAATGGATCTTGCCACACATGGTGGTACATGCCTATAATCCAAGCACACAGGAGGCTGAGGCAGGAGGATTGTTATAAATTTGAGGCCAGCCTAGACTATACAGTGAATTCAAGGCCAGCCTGAACTACATTGTAAGACCCTGTCTCAGACATCTTCCCATCAGAGGAAGAGGAAGAAGAAAGGAGCAGGAGGAGGAAGAATTGTATCTGATGCACAGTAAGGCCCCAATAAATGTTTGTTGAATTGTATTTTACCTACCTTAAGAGTTGTGTTAGTAAATGTATTCTCTTAATTACAGTTAGCCACATTTGTTTAAAAGTTGTTTTCAGTCATGCATGATGGTGCACGCCTATAATCCCAGCACTCTGGGAAACTGAGGCAGAAGGATCAGAAGCTAGAGCCAAACCTGGTCAATTTAGTGAATTAGCAAGTCCTTGTCTTAAGTTTTTTAAAAATCCCAGAATATAGCTCGGTAGGCCCTGGGGGCTCAATCTCCAATACAAAAAAGCCCAGTTATTTTTGTTCCCCAAATGTATGTTAACAGAAAACTACATGACAAGACCCCACACACAGCCACTATAGGGACAGATTCCTGTAATGAACACTTGACTAGGAAATCCAGGAATATTCAGCAAGTACTTATCTTGGTGCTCTGCTAAGGTGTTGAACTTCCAAGACAGTCCCTCCTCACCAAGAACAGAGAGAGAGTCCTTCAACAAAGGGAAGTACTAATGAACACTCAATGATATAGACTTTAAAAAGCAATGTCTAAGGCCAGGGGTTTAGCTCAGTGGCACAAGCACCTGCTTGGCAAGCACGAGTCCTGAGTTCGATCTCTAGTACCAAAAAAAAAAAAAGGAATATCCACATG